GCCTACCCTTGCAGATTGTCTATGAGCAGCGGTTGCTTCACCGTTTCCACGGATTCTGCAGTCGCTGACTCATTTGCTAAATTGTAGTATACAAAAACGATAGTAGAACTTTTGTTTCATTCACTTCAGTTCAATACTTTCAATCGTTCATCTCTCCGGTCTTATCATATTCATGTAAGGTCGTGCGTAGGTCATAAACATACCGTTCACTCCATTCAATGTTCCAATCATCAGTCTTTTCTTAATAAAACAATTTATGTATACTCACCAGCGACACATTCAGGCATACTGGTCACAGCCCATTCCCCCAGCCAGCATCTAAGATTGGTTGGGCCCTGAACGTTATATCTAAAAAAAAAATTACAAGACATTTTACTGGTATACTAAATACTTTTCGATAGTTTGTTAAATTACACACTAAATAAGCCTATCACTTTAAAAGGCCCTTGATGTGTTTAATTAGTGCAGATAGCGGATCCGATCGTGAACATAGTTTTGTTAATTAGGTAACATCTTTTTTGCGTAATATTAGTCCCTTTCCGTGTAAAAACACCCTTTTGTTGGGGGTAAGCATGAGAATACATTGACGAAAGGAAGTGGATTTGCTTGTGTGTATAGGAACGTGAAATATCCTCCTGAAATATGTGAGTCCCTTCCTTCGTCAATGGAAAGCAAGGCCTCTCCAATTGCAAATGTCAGGCAGTGGTCATTTCACCTTTTTGGCGAATAGGCACTATGCATATGACGCCAAATTGTACCAAACTTTAAGTATAATTTATTATTATAAAAATAGTCCTGCAAAGATTTTTTTAAACATAATGTGATTTAGTGGCAAAATTTAATCATTGAAAAGTGTTTTTTTTTTCAAATTCCCTCGCTAAGTTCTAAAACGCACACTATTGGTCGAAGCAAGTGGCTTATCTAATATGGCGTCGCTGTGTTGTCAATACACAGTTCATTTACGTTAGTTTATATAGAAATACACTTTTGAAGTATTTTACTGTAAACACGATATCAAAACCAACATTAAAATAAAAAATTAATGAATAGAATTATTAATTACCACTTACTTGTACCAGGAATAATAAAAATGAATCGATTTTTGACTTTTTGACCTTGAGAAACTGTTATGTTTTACGTCGAAGTGACATCTGAGCGTAAGTTATGAATGGAATAGACGATTGATGTCAATCGTCTCATGATAACTCCGGTCGCGTTTTAGTCGCTCGAAAATAGTCGTAATTTTGTTTTATTATTTTTAGCTCAATGGTTGAATATTTTCGCATCAATTTTTTTTTGTGGTAATTTTATAACAAGTAGAATCGTTTAAAAGAAGAAAAAGAATACATGCATATTCCCTATTAAAAAAAAACTTTTGTTAGCAAACACTTACCCATATTCACAAGAGAAATGCACTACTTGTCCGTTAGGAACTGGGTCTGTTTCATTCAATTCTTTGTCTTCACCATGATTCAGTCCAAGATTTAACTGTCCTTGACCGTTCTCAGGAGCCATTGTGTAAATGCCGTATTCTGTTGTTGGCACGTGACATGGAACTAAGAAATTAGATATTTCAAACAGTGGTAATCTGACGTATACTGCAACGAATCTTAAGAGCGGGCACACCTTTGAAAGAACTATCGCACAACTAGCTTATTAAAACTTTTATGAGACACGAGCTGTTGTCCGCGACTTCGTCCGCGTGGTATTAGAAAACATACGAACTATCCCTCGGGACCCGGACATTTCTCGGGGATGAAGCTTATCCCATGTGTACTCCAGACTTTGTTTTATATCTGTGCCAAATTTCAATAAG